ACGTCGTGCACGTCGAACGGCGCAACCGAAAATTTCCAGCGTCCAATGTAAGGATTTTAATTTGAAATTTTCACCCGTTTGCGGTCCCCGCGTCCCGTATATAAATGATGCAATTGCCTTCGGTGCGGACGGGCGAAAATAAATTACGTCCCCCCTCCCCACAGGCAGATTCCAACGCGTGCACACAGGGTCGGCCGGTGCAAATTTATTTGCGCGAAGAAGGCACGAAAGAGAGCGCGAGGCCGACCTCGAAATCTTGCCTCGTTTCGAAGGGGCCCCGGCAATAAAGGGATCGCGCGGGTCGGGTTAAGACGATTTATCGTCCGGGTAAGTTTGCCATATTCGATAAAAAAAGCCACCGCCACGTATTTGCTACGTCGCTGTGAAGAGGGAAGGGGGAGGGGAAGTTGTGGAAGGATAGGGACAGATAAAGTCAATAATTCCTCGCGTTTGACGCGCGGCTTATTGCCCTCCGCTCGGGGAAGAATCGCGAGAAGGACGAGGAGGATCTTGGACAAGGCCATTTGTCAACGATATTTTACGCTCGGATACTGGCATTTTGAGTCCGAGATGCCTCCCTCGCTTTCCTCCACTCCCCTGTCCTCTATTTCGATCTTGGCCGCAGAAGAAACATTCCTCCTTCCGATTTAATGCCGATTTTATTCTCCTCCAAGATGGAGAAGAGAATAGAAATGAAGAAAGGATGTATATGTATGAGTTTGATTATCCCGGTGTCTCTCTTGATGTGACTATTTCGACGTGTACAAGGGGGAGGGGAAAGGGGGAAAGGATAAGAAATGACACGCGTTCTTCCACGATGGAGAAGCAATAGAATTTGCGACGACGAATTCCGTTTCGCGCAAAATTTTTATGGCGTTCCGTGTCCGATATCGCTCGTTCTATTCTTCTTTTATTTTTTCCCCTTCCTGCAGGAGGATTCGCACACTCCCGTTCAGGAAGAATTTATCACGTGGAGAGAATTTTAACAAGCCCCGCCTCCCCCTTCCCCCCTTTTGACGAGCAATAAATCTGGGATGACCATCGATCAAAAGCAAGTCAATCAACCAGTAGCTCAGGTAGCGCGAAACAAACAGAAGTAGAAGATTTATCGCGAGTCTGGTGCCAGTCGCGTAAACGTGTATTGCATGTAAATTAACGGATATTAACGGATTTATTATCGATCATTTTGCAACGGATTAACGAAAGATAATCGAAAGATGATCGATCTTAAAAATAAATTTTAAGGATATTCTTTTTGTGTTTCAAACGATTCAGAAATACAGGCATTAAAGGTGTTCGCCATCTAGCGTCCCATGTACACGAAATGATCCGATCCATTTCCATTCTACTTTATTCGCTGCGGTTGGAAGACACGCACAGAGGATACCAACAGCCGAGAACTGTCCAGGCTGATCGATACCTCCCCGTTTACTCTCGGTCGGTGGGGCGCGATAAGGGTAGTTTTATCGGAAGACGCTTTGCCCTAGTCGAAATATCTTCCACGATATCGGTAAATTTGGCAAACGTTTGTGAAACAGCGGCGAGATAAATTACGAAATTACGTTAAATCGGCTCGATGAAACTCATAAATATGCATAAATATGCAACGATGGTAAATAAATAACGTTCTCTTGCAACAATATTACACGTATAGTGCACAGTGTCGTATTATTTCGAGGACATAGAGTTATAAAGCACGCAGAGTAAATCTAAAATTCTAAAAAAAAGAAACGATCGTAAATACGTAAAGTGATAATAATAAGCTAATTAATTCCACTTTCAACTCCTTTTATCACTCCATATTCCTCTCCCCGTGTGTAATATACCCCATAATGAATCAACGAAACGAAGACGAAACTCCGTGGGAAGCAACACGGAGCGGAGGAACGTGGCGATCGCGTGAGAAGAGGCGTACGCGGGTACTTCGGCTCGAGGCTGAAAATAGCCGAAGAGAGCTCGCTTCACTCCGCTCGGCGCGGCCCGCCAGAATCGCTCGAGCCTCGACACGAATTTCGTCGTCGTGGTGGGTCCCGACCAAGGATCCAGCCTCAATCGATCGATCGAACCATCCCCCCCGCCAGGTCGATCCGGAAATCGACTCCGAATCGAAGTGAGTGCTTCTTCGCGGTAGTGGAAGTAAGGCAATCACGTATTTCTCCACATCCCTTCGTTCCCTTCGACGTGAAAATTTCGAAATCGAAGTTCTTCTCATCCGTATACATATCGTTTTCTTGTGTGGCGTTTCACACGGTGAAGTGATTGAAAAAAAGAGAAAAACGTATGATGAAACGCGTGCGGTTCTCGGCGTGGGTTGCATTGCGGACACTCGAGAAACTAATCGATGTACGCATCGAATTTAGTGTGAGTGCGATACCAGGGAGCTTTCTCGAATGTTTGTGTCTGTTTTAATTACATTTATGTCATAGTGTTTACCGGTTGATCGAGATCGATCCGAGATCGAGGGTATCTAGAAATATATATATGTATACACGAAACGTGAAACGCACACGAAGAAAGAAGAAAGATTAATTCGAGAGTGAAAAAAACGTCGTTCCTTGGATCCTCCTTACGAGTCGATATATTCTTTGGCAACGAATTTTCGAAAAATTGCGAAACATCGAGACGAATGGTAGTAACATCGCCGTGGTTTCATCCCTGGTGTATTTTCTCTTAGCTCGGTCGGGCGGCGAGAAAATATCGGCTGAGGAAATATTTAGCACGGGAACAATATTTTCGTTTGATCCGTTGCCAGTTAAACAGTTTCGTGATTTATCGACGTATCCGTGTCGTCGCGTCGCTCCGTTTCTCGATCGTCACTTTGACCACGACCTCCCCCCCGAAATCGCGATTCCCCTCCTCCTCCTCTCCTCCAAAATTTGTTGGCGATATCCTTAACCTTCGATCAATCGCTCGTTACCGTATTCTAATTCGAGTTCCGCGGGAACAAGCGTGGAGATCTTCGCTCGATCCGCCGAGTTGTAAATGCGTCTATTTCTGCCCGCTCGCTGGAAATAGACTCGAGAATGAAATAGGTCTCCGATTCTCAGATTCCCCTCCTCGCGTCGATGTCATTCTCGATCCAACGCCGCGTTGTCATTCTCGATCGATCGATATTCCTTCTTGGATCACCGATCGAGACGAAGAAGATCGCGTTTGATCGAAAAAGTTCCTCGCAAATTGGATTTATCCGCGAGTAAATTAGATTTTCGCGCAAATATATCTTATACAGATACAGGTTTGAGAAGCCTGGTTTAACAAATTGGAAGCGTAGTTGCGAAATTAGAGGAAAGCAATTTGAATTATGATGCCTTAAGATCGCCGCACCACCGCGGAAGTAAGACAAGGGGGATGTGGCCACTTGGTCTAAACTATTTTTAAACTTTTGAACCCGTCATACCGTTCAATCTACCGCATCTAAATATACTGTATCTTCCGTTCTGGAGGCTTTCCGAGTTTAATTGACGCACGTTTACGCATCGGTCAATTACGTAAATAACAAAACCGATAATATCGTTAACAATAACAGTATCGATACGCATTGTTGCAATTAACACAGCCACGCGACGATTAATTATCCGTGACTGATTCGTTGTGAAAAGAATAATCAAAAAAAAAAAAAAAAAAGAAAGAAAGCAATCGATCTTCCGTGTAGTATCCTCGCTAAATGATATTAACTGTACGTATTCTGAAATGCGGCAAGAGTAGAAATATTCTAGGTCACGATAATTACTTTCCTCGAGGATGGAAACAAGATTCCCCTCCTCGTTAAACTAACTTCTCTTCTCTCGAGACGAAAAATTTCTCCCCCTAATTCCCGATAATCGATGCTCCAAGTCGCGACATTTCTTTCTCCCCCCTTCTTCAAAGATCCCTTGACTATATAATCCATTCTTACGATTCTAGACATAGACACCGAACGTTGCGATACATTTCTAACGAATTCCAAAAATTCTTTCCATTTCGAATACCATTTTCGGTAATTCAATTTCTCCGCGAAATTTCCACGCGATCCTCCTCCCCTTTAATAACATTAAAATCCCGAGGAAAATCGGAAATTCTTGGCGAGTGGCGAAATTTTACGCGCACTCGAGCCGCAGATCGAGACGAGCGGATTACTCGTCTTGCAGAAATAAAAACAATTTAGCAAGGAGAGAGGGTGTGTGTGTATGTGTGTATGTGTGTGCCTTTGTGTGGATTACACACAGAGGATAGATTGGCTACGACGGAATTTCGAGCATGCGGAATTTGATTGAAGGAAACGGGCGCTTGCGCGAGGGTCTGTGCCGAGGTACGCGCTAACCACCCACCCACCCCGTTCCCCAGTAGCGGGTGATCGTTGGTGCTCTATCGGAGGTTAGGACGTCGCCGACACCGCTGCCGCTGGTGTTCGTCGTCGTCGTCGTCGTCGTCGTCGGCCACCGCCGAGAGGAAACGTTCTCAGCGCCGGCAGCCGTAGCGTGTGCAGCCGAAACATGTCGGATCATCCGAGTGGCCAAGTGTGACCAAGTTTCCATCCGCGCCCTATTCGCTATCGAGGCTGGGGACGGTGGGCAGGGGAGTGAGAATCGGTGCGGGAGAGGAAAATAACGCGACAAAGGGGTGAACTGCGGTGACTCGACGTCAGGTTACGTGAAGACGTGCCGACGGGATGGCCGACAGCGAGGGTGGCTCCGAGCAGGATGACGTATCCTTCCTTCGCACGGTGAGTTCCTTCCACGTATTTCGTTTCTCTTTCTTTTTTTTTTTTTTCTCTCATCCATTC